GAGAAATACTGTAATTTTATCCACCTTTTATTAAGAATAAAAATTAACACCAGAACCGGACATATACCTAATACAGTGGTTTATTTTAGTTCGATTTTTAAATAATATGATTCGATTTTTAGCGATGTATACTTGAACAATAAAGTGAACTCCTTGTTAATTAAATATATTATGTAAAATTGTATTATCTTTTGGTAAAATAATAAAAGTAGGTTGTGTAGGTTGTGTAGGATATAAGAAAGATACTTTTCAAGATGAGGAAAACCTACGCAGCAAATAAGAGGCTCTCGTGAATAATAGTTCTTTTCAATGTACATACAATTTATTAAATTTTATACTTGCTTTATATGCTCATCAAACAAAACGTCAGATGCTCATTATAACTTAATACTATGTGGGAGGATATTGTGTACAAATAGAAAACTGAAGGTAATGTCGTAAATAGAAGATAGTAACGTTGCTAATAATAATTTGCTGATATACATTACAACACTTGATTAGTAAGTATAATATGACTTAGTTATCTCCTGATTAAAACAAATATCAGAATCCATCATCTTTAGAACACTTAACAAGTGATTTATTTGATTAAACCAATTCCAATATTTTTTTAATATATCATTTTTTTAATTAACGTCAAATTTGTTAAATTTATTTATATCCGCATACATATATCTATAGTACATAGATAATATAAATTAAGTTACATAGATACTAATCATGTTGGTGATTCACCATTTTACTACTAGGTAAACAAATCAAACAAAGCGAGTTTTTAAACTGATTCCGTTGCATTTATTTATACTGAGTGTTAGAACTTTAATATAATTGATCATATTTAACAATCTTAAAAAAATATTTTATTAAGACTTGGAGTAACATATTTATGTAACATTTAGTGCAACAGAGAGTAAATTTGAACAAACTAGCTGGAAACAATCATGTCACCAAAAGGTTTTCCACCAAAAACTTTTGTTTAATATTCGGCTATTCTTTCAAGTGGCTTGGATAAAGCCGATCAGAGGAAATTTGGTCATTGATGATTTGGTGAGCTCTACATAAATGCGGTAATTTTTTTTTTTCATATATTAATTCATTGAAAACTGTCGAACAATTCATTTCATTCGTTTGTTATGGTGTTGGCGTTGAGTAAAAGAATTAGTTTCATTTATTGACACGACTCAGTTATGCGAACAAATATTTCTTTGATAGCATTTATTGGAAATTTCAGGAGGAGAATAATACAAAAGCATTTGTGGTAAAAACAAGTTATTAGTTTTTTAACATATCAGGATTGAAAGAAGCGTATTTCAATATTATTTGGGCCTTCTCTGCACCCTTGGAAATTGGATATTATTATTTTTGCAAACCCATGAAATATTTGCTGATTTGTCTTTAACCGATTTAATTTACGATCTTCATAAAACGGGATTATTTAGCTCCCGTATTGTCCCAAGACAATGATTGATTTATGTTGCTGATGAAGTAAATTGTAAGTCGATGTAAATAGAAGCTTTTTGTAATACTTTGACGTTAGCCCAAACATTGAACACGTGCCTCCGATACACTAGGGACCGACTTTGATAAATCGTACTCGACAGCGTGTTCGGTTTAAATGAGAATTTCTCGTAATCTAGAATTAAAAGATTGCAGTTCGTGTTTGTAATGAATGCTGAACCAATTTCAGCCGATTAGCTTAGAGAAGGTTTTAAGTAAATCCTCCGGTCTGTTTCATTTGTATGAGGATCATGTTAATCTTGTTAAAGGTGGCGAAAGGGAGATCTTTTTTGGATTTAATGCTGCCCCAATGCTGTAGTCAAAGCTTTTCATGTTTGCGAAATCTTTCGGAACAGGTGATCATAGCGTGAGAGACTATTTTTGAAGTTGCAATTCTTCTAACGAGTTTGGAAAAATAAAGACAGTAAAAATTTTACGATGCGTGTGCACACCGGCAACGACATGATGATGTCCAGATGGCATTAGCCGGGATTAATGTCGGGTAGAAGAACATCTACAATTGTGCTATTTTGTTTTTGAAAAACAATAATGTGTTTTTCAAAAACAAAATAGCGATACGCTAAAGAAGTATAACTTCTAACGTGCGTACATAAGTACACACATATTTTTTTTAATTAAGTATTAAATAAATCTTACCTAAACTATTAAAAGCGTAAAAGTAACAAATTATTCTTGCACAAACAGTAATACCGCTAGTACACTGAGATAGTACCTACCAGGCAAAGTATTAGCTTAAAGAGTTACCAGCTCCTCTGGGTGTCTTTGATGCACACAGCTTTAAAACAACGTTAACAACGTGCAATAAAATGTCTTTTCTCCTTGCTGGCGAAAGTTGGTTTACGTAATTTATGGCCATAATAGAGCGCAAGAGCTGACATAAATTGCTGTGTCCTCTCCAGCCTTGAACTTATTTCAATGCTCATGAGTTCCTTGACACAACCCAAATACGGATATTTTCAGTGGAATTAGATTACACATCCCACTTTAATTACATGTAAAGTTAAGAAGTTTTAAAGTCGTCCACGTAATTTTGATACTAATGATTTGAATTTTATATTTTTATAAATTTTATTTACTAAAAAGCTAATTTTTTTAAACTTTAAAGGAGTAAAATAAACGCAGTGGTTTTTATAATAATCATTTAATAATCTATCATCCTTTATGAAACGTAATAAAATTAACCGTAAAAAAAAATTTTGAAAATTTTAATAAACTTGAAAGTCTTTTAATGTCCTATATATTATTTTCGCACTAATTTAAACACAGCCCTAATGCCACAGAAATAACTCTGTCGTTGTAATAAATAGCACCACTCTCCTCTAACAACTAAGGATGAATTAGCAGCGATTTCATTAACATTATACATTTTTTCGCTCTCATGTGGAAAAATAGTTACGTAAACGCATTACATACATATGAAACAAGAGAAAACATTTGGTTCAGGGTTTCAAAAACATTAATAAAAAAAATGAATTTATCATAACAATCACTTAGTAAACTAAAGCGTTTCTTCGTAGTAACATATTAATATAGATTTTGCAATAAATAGGCATTTTAATTATGTGTAATGTTTGTTATAATTTGCCAGTTTTAACAACGACAAAATTACACATTTTAATATATTTTCTTTAAACAAATTAACAATCGAAAGAAAAGATATGAAAAATAAAATACCATAAAACTCGTAAAGTGTAAACGTATATTTGTTTATAAAAAATGAATTTATTGTTTGATGTGTTAAAAATGGAAAACAGTATGGAACGTAAAATGTAGGCGAAACAAAGCATTATGTGCTTAAAGATAACAATGCAATAATGTAAACAGCAGAGGAAATCTATTGTGTTAAATTCGCAAAACAATGGTACTAGGAATTTATGTACCACACTTAAAGAGAAGCTTGTATGGAAACTAGACTCACGCTGTGACGATATCGAATAAGATCTAGAAATTGCCTAACAAGCGTTAATACACTAAACGAAGTGTTGCTATTATCTCCGAAAAATTAGGTACTAGACTACTAATTTGAACGTAATTAATGCTATGCGATTAAATTTTAAACATTTCGCAAGTAAATTTCGTCTTAGACATGTAACAAAACTTATTTATCGTTTAATCATATAAAAATAAGTTTATAATATAATAAAAATATTTTGTAAGAAAGAATAAGAAGATAATCTCAACTTAAGAGAAAACAATGAATTTTAAATTGTCTACTGAAGCAAGGAGGTAACAAAGGAATCAGCACATGTAATTAGGGACTAAAATGGAACGTTGTCTGAAAAGTTCGGTACATTTCGTTCATTTTATTGTAAATATCGGCGTCTTCATTTATCCAGTCGTTATTTTTATTTTAGCCTATATAATTTAAGCTAGCAATCTGTTGTTTGAAGTTAAGAACAACATTCATAGTCGAGATAATTTTGAGATAACTATTTTAATATTCCAGATTCTCGAAAGTGAAAAAGTGAAAGTTTATCAAGAAATTTGAAATTTATAGAATCAGATTTTTGCCCAGATTCTAATTTTGCTGGACGAAATTCCTCTCCATATTAAACAAAAATCTAGTTTCACTTTTTTATGTGTTTGTACTGTATTTGAAAAGAATGTAAAAATGCCTAAAGAAATATCAAGATTACACAAATCACATTTTGGAAACAAACCTCTTGGATTTCTCAGGACTTCTTTTTACTAAGACTCTTCTCATCTTCACTGTATATTTTTCTCATCTACTTTCTCCACAGCTTCGTCGTAGCTGTATGATAGTTATGAAGTTTCTGGAGAAGTAACTCAGCGTAGATTTGTGAAAGTCAAAGTACTTACCTGACTTCGACTCCGTACAAAAATCGCAATTTTAAAAAATAAAATCTAAATTACACTTAACATGGGTTCTCTCGAAAGTGAAATTGAACACTGCAACTTGCTTTGTGCGTGCCCATCACAAACACATATACAAGAATTACCACATTTTAATGGTTTTATTGTATCAAAAGAGCTTACGTTTGTTCCAAGGCGTCCAGTACCAACCAAAAGTTAAGTCGTTTTAAAGCTACACGATCTTTAACAGACCGAATACAGTTAATATTTAAAGCAGTCGTTAAGAATAGCTATTATACATTGTAACTATTCCCTCGTAAAATTTATTTTATAATGTGCTTCGAAACGAAAACAAATCGTTAATCGGTAATAAGAAGCGAAAATAAAGTAGTGACACCTTAATTATCATATTATGTATTCATAATTATAACGATTAAGTAATTCATTAATGACAGAAATTCATTAATGATAAAACTGTTTCGAATCTGGAGGTTTATTCCCAAGGATCATAGATGTGATTTACATTCTGTGCCAACCTGTATTTTGTAGTCTGTATGAAAAAATCTTAAACCCTTTTTCTTTTGTTACAGAAAACTTACACCAATGTTACGAAGCAACAAATATACATGAATTTATTTTAAAAATGAAAGCAACGAATTTGCGAAACAATGACGCTACGTCGATGTGACAGTTTGCCTGCGCGACTACGGGAATATCATACAAAGCCCGATGTTGAACTTGGTCAACCTATACAATTACCAGATTCTAATACTGTTCCGAACTTTACCGATCCTTCCAAGTTAGACGAAGTTATAGCCACTTGGAAATCACTTCAAACTGATGTAATAAAATTAAGTAATGGCAATCCATCAAAAAATGAGAGAACAGATCAAAAAATCAATGAAACGGAAACTATTACCCATAGTTTCATATCAGATTTTAAATGCACTAAAAGTGATAAGCGAAAGAAACTCGTTTTTAGTAATGCATCAACTACAGCCCGCAAAAAAGATGACAATCCAACTAGTTCTTTGCCAGCAGAAGTTGCCCAAGCGAATTCAATTGAATGCGGGGCAAGTAAAGCCCGCAGACGGACTCTACTGGAACGCTTACTCTCCTGGCGCACCCCAGAGTGCAACTGTCGCGAGAAATTCACACCGAAGTTGCGACCTACTCCGGTTCCGCGTCCAGAAGACTTATTATGTACATGTGGTGTTTCTCGTACCAACTTTGCGGACAAAAGAAATAGATACACGGAACGTGGTCGTTCCAAAAGTGTGGGGTATGAAGCTGCTCGCGAAGTGACACAGTTTCGCCGGTTAGTGTTATATGTGTAATTGTGTATGTGTATGTGTGTGTGCCTTGAAGTGACTTATCGGCTGGTTACCTTTTAATTGTTACAAAACGTGACCAGCTGATAAATTACTTCCGAGCGACAATTCTTAAAGTGTGCGTGTGGTGTAATAGGTGCGCTAGTGCAGGTGCCACTGTGGGGGCTGAAACGCCGGCGGCATTGCGTGCAAGAGCTGCTCTTACTCTCGCGCGTCGATACTACCCCGAAGGCGGGTGGGGCTGGACCATTACAGTCGTCGGGACGCTGGTCCAGATAATCACTCATGGGCTGCAGCTTGGTGGAGGAACTGGAGCCGTGGCTTGCACCGCGGCTGTGAAATATCGTGTGCCGCCGCTGTATACTTACGGTGAGTGATACAAACCTTTGTAATTATTGTTTTAAAAACCGTACAAATATACACACATACATATAAATAATAATCTATCGTAGCGATATAAAGAGCTTAGGAATTCATCAGTAATTTGTATTCAAGCTTTAGAATTAATATCCATGTGTACAAAACCTAATCCAAGAATTATGGAGGTTAACATTTTCAATAATAATAATATCAAAGCAACATCGCACAAAGAACACGCCACATACAGCAATAAATCATAAATGATAAGGGACATTTATACATTCGTAGCCTCAAAAAGAATTTTTGACTATTACTATTTAGTCCTTTGTATGTATAGTATACTTTGAATTAGAGAACAATTGTATAAATCTGCAAATTGCTCAAATAATAAATCTTTGATCAAAAAAGTATTGAAATTTACAAAATAAATTATCATGTTTGCAGTGAATACGTAAACTTTCTAAGAAATAAATCAGAAAAGGAATATTAAAGTGTCAGAATGACTCTGTACATGTTATTAACACAACACAAGATATGTTTATGCATAATACAAATGCTTAATATTTTTATTTTTCAAATAGTATTTGTATTACCAATAGAATCATGTTTTAACACGTTTTCTATCATTCATTCGTTAAAATTTTCATCGCAACATACTTTATTATAAATGTCATAATGGATCTGCTGACTCACAGATAATATTTGAAGTCCTCACACTTTTCTAAATATCCGTGAGTATAGGCATCGTCCTAGGTAATTCGATATTTCAAATACATAGGCTGACGAAAACACCAGAGTGGTGTATTTATGAGTAGTCATACCGCAGATTCCATGTTTGAAGCTTTTTAAAATAATGCGAGTTAATAAAACGGTTAAAAAATATTTTGCTTTTGTGAGTTTTATTTATTAAAAGGTCCATTCTTAAAAGCAACGGGCATATGTAAAAACTTCGCAATAACTTCAAAACCTACATATTTACGATACCTTTACAATTCCAGGACAAAGGTCCAAATTATTTAGAGTGATACACGATGCTCCTCCAAAAAGATAGTTTCGCGGGCGACCTACAATCGATTTTCAATGTTTCACACATTTATTCGACTTAATATGCTCGGGTACATGATTATCACATTATCAATCCATTTTGCATTTTTAATTAAGTATAACAATGAGTCAAAGAATCTGTATTAAATTTTGGATGAAAAATCTAATCTAGCACACTTAAAATTTCGAATGTGGCATTTGGCGACAAATGCTTACTTTGAGCAATATAATTGCTTATATAATTTGTACAAGCTCTTCAAGGGTGGCCGAGGAAATGCCCACCCTAGACTCCTTCACACGTTTAAAAACCGATGAAGGGCGAGATGTTAGTGTCGATGGAGGTACTAGACGGTTACGTCTAGACCTGCGAGTCGGACTCGCGCACGAAGGGTTCCGTACTAAATTTGTGAAATCTTAATACCTTTTTGCATTTATTGTTATAGCGGCCATAGAAATACATTGAAGAAATACATTATCTGTGAAAATTCCAAATGTCTAACTATCACGGTTCATGAGATACAGCCTGGTGACGTTTATAATATTAGTAAGGATTAGTAAGGAAGTAAGGATATACTTTTAAGGTCCTAATCTTTAACTTGATTGAATTAAAAATAAACCCGTGTTGCACGATTAAAAATAAAAAGAAAAACAATTGGAGGTTACTTAATTTAAAAGGCAATTGCGGACATTAAAACGCCAACGCTGTTTTTGATAGTTATCCAAATTAATAGACACAAATGTTACAACACTATTAATAGAAAAAAATTGTTTTATTTCTTATCGCACTAAATTCAAAACTAATCAATAAACTATGTGTAATTTAAACGGACCCTACGTCCTTTAAACTGTATTAATTATTCATGACTTAAAGCCTTATTTAGTGACAATTAAACGAACGCCCATTGAAGTTTATGGATTAGGAAAACATTCAACATAAACAACGGCGTAAAGTTTAAGCCTCAATCACAATTATATTACTCAGTTGTACGTCAATTATCTTCATTCGTAAATTATATAGTTGTTGCATTCATATTAGGAAAAGGCGGCAAACTAGCAGGTGGGCCATAAGATGATGGTGGATGGTGTTCACCGCCACCCATGGACTCTCGCAACACGAGAGATGTAATAAATGCGCCGCTGGCTTTGAGGTAGTAATAGGCTCTCCTCTTGAAGGTCCCTAAGAAGTATCCGCGAAGTAGTCCGAAAATACCGCTGACGACAACTGATTCCATAACTTGGTGGTGGGTGGCAGAACACAGTGGTGCACTACATACCGTTGAGGTGATAGCGATAGGATTTGGCAGATAGACGCGTGATACGGTGGAGAAATTCAACAGCAGGTATTAATCCTAACAACTCCTCAGAGCACCCACCCCCCCGATAGATACCGATAAAATCATATCTTCGAAAGGCCAAAGGATAGCGAGATTGGAAAGGTTGGTCGCCGGCGATTCGATCAGCTCTAAGAGATTTGTCAATTATTGATTACGGTCCAACTAATTCTTGACTTTACACAAAATAAAATTTATGGCTAAGTCGTTTATGGTTCAAGGTGCGAAATTATGGAATGCCCTACCTCTGGAGGTGAGACGTGCTCAGTCACTTTCCACTTTTAAAAACCTTGTCAAGGGTCACTATTTGTCACTTTAAATCTGGTTTAGATACAGAATGTATTAACTATGTTTATATATATATATATATGTATATATGTAATATGAAAAATGTGTATTTATCTTATAAAATTTATATAAATATTCTTTTCATATTATGTCCATCCAAAGGTTGCCTGGAAGAAATTGCTTTAAGTAATAAGGCCGCCCATTGTACAACCCTTACATAATTGTTATTTTTAATGTATTCTTTTTACCATGTTGTGTGCAATAAAGAATATTCATTCATTCATTCATTAATTTACACAATTTTATTCTTTTTGTTTCTGAATATTGCACTTAGCCTTTTTTCTAAGCATTTGGCACTTCTTAGGAAAGTGACTAGTGAATAGGAGTGCCGAAAAAGCCGCATTAAAAACGGTGCCAACTCTAGGGCACACGTCCTCAGCATAATAGAGATTCCGTTCGGCCCACTCGTCTTGTGGATGTCAAAGAAGAAAAGTTCATTACGCACGGAACTCAGAAAAAGTGTCGGGTCAAAAGTCAATCACCAAAACAGTACTTTTAATAAAACTTACATGCAATGTTACAAAAACATAATGAATGACATGAACACTAATCCATTCGCAAAATTAAACGAAGTTTTCATTTTAAAGTATAACATTATAGTAAATTATAATCAGTCAATATTTGTTTTTTAACATCGTGTTTTGTCTTCTCAATGTACACATCCACAAAAACTGTTTTATGAGTTTGACGTACAGATAGAGAAACGAACAGTTATGGGATTAGAGACCATTGTATCGATGGCTAAGTGCAATGTAAAAGTATAAAATGCTAACAGCTCGTAATCGTAAATAATTCATACCATAAAACCTTATTGAGGCTCAATTATATCGCCGTCTTTTAATGTTAATGGACTGAGCCCAACCCCATAAAACAAACAACAAAGTTAACTTCCAAGCCTTAATCTTCATTTGATGCGTCAAACCTGTTCTTCTACTCAATTAAACACATCTTAAATTACTATGTTACTTACTAACTAGGAATAAGAAATAGATGACAGATGTGTTTTTTTTCTATAAAATAGCACAATGCTATCAAAAGGACATGTTCAAAAAAATATTTGTTGTCATTTTAAGAATATTAGCTATGGTTCTAGCCAAATTTATCACAAAATAATGGTACCTTAATGTTATTCTATATTTTTAATTGACATCCGATAGATTAAAATCGCGCTTTATTAAATTTTGATCGAGTTTTAATTATGGCAGTGGTACTTAATAATAACAGAACCTTATACAAATATTTTTGCATACATTATTATATCTCCACGGACATGACAAATGCTCTTATTCTATATTAGACTAGAACGTGGTTATACTAAGAGTGTACGGGAGCTCACTTTTGATTCAATGCACTCGAGCAATCTCAGAGTTAATCCCGGTGCCGCCACTAAAGAAATTGTTAATTGAATTTTAAGTGGAGGTTAACATAGCGAGGAAACCCTATTTATGTTTTAAATAATAATAATAGAAATATTTCGCAGTTAGGTCAATTCCGCTAATCCGCGGTACGCTTGGTCGCTTGGTGAACTATGCCATAATAGCCTTTGTATAGAGAAGGCCTTTGGCCATAAGTGGGACATTTTAGGCTTTTATTTTAGAACGTAGTTAAATACGGGTTGACTTCTACCAACATGACGTTGCTGTCATTATATATTCCAACAACTTTAGTGAAAGTGAGATAGGAAATTATATAGTTTGACAATTTTATCTTAATATTGATGAATGTCATCTATTAAGAATAACAATATCACAAGCCCACGAGTTCCTTTCGTGTTTTACTTTTCATTATTCTTAAACTGATGGCTCAAGACATTACAATTGTACCACAACATTGTAAGTGTACCGAGTTAATCGCATCATATATATCACGAGGCCCGAATATTATATGCATAATGATGTGAGAGTCGCTTCCATTTTAGTAATGGATCAATAAGTTCAATTTAGGCAGTTAGTGACTGGGGCAGTCGCTTTGTACTGAATAATGTATAATGAAATAAAATCTATGAATTTCCAATATATGATTTATAAACTCAACTTATTTATCTCAACTCTTTATCTCAACTTATGTAAAGTGTGAAACATTAACACTTGCACCTATAATCTCTACCAACGGCTCTAGATTCACCCTTTACTAGAGAATAAGATTCAAAATCATAATTTGTTATTTAGGATAAAGTTTCTAAATACTTCACGTCTACGGTTGTGTTTTGAAATTGATATATTTTTCAATTGACTTCATACTTAACAAATAATAATTAAACTATAGAATGAAAAAATATATAATAAATCGGTGTTGACTTAAAGACATCGACAAAAAAGTTTTAAGGATATAACAAAGGTATCATATTACGAGGTCACCATCAACTGAAAAATTGAAATACTTAGTTGATTATGTAAAATAGGAACAGTCATATTACAAAGTAATTGCTTTATTCACTAATTATTCAAAACTAGTCGTCGCCTATTGGAAATTTAAATTGTTAATAGTGCTAATCTCTGCATTTAAGTTATTTCGTACTTTTTCTAAAAATGTTTAATCTTAAGTGCAGAGATTACACTATAAACGATTTAAATTTCTAAAAAAACAATGGCGACATTTCTCGTTCGAATTATAGTTGGAAAACGATATTTGAAGTTGTTTGTATGCTGGAAAGGATATAACAATCGATGCGCTAAGCATTGCTTCAAGTGCTAAAAAACAATATAGATACGAGAAGACGTTAAGGTTTTCGTTGGTGTGGCAATCAGCCGTTTAGCTTAATGGCTAAAGCGTCAGGCCGCGAATACCGAAGACGAGGGTTTGATTCCCACAGCGGCAACAATCTTTTCGTACTTTTTCTACAAATTTTAAAGTCACTTATTGGTTTGAGCGTAGTGCGTTACAGATAATTTATTCTAAGTAATTGATTGATTTTGATTTTATGTAAATAATTACCAAAAGGGGATCCAACAGTGTCGTTTCACGTACTATTAAGATATAAATACTGTAATTCGGGCTAAGTGAGTTAGCAAATATCGGACAAAAGTGTCCGTTAATATTTGCTGTATGGAACGTTGGTAACAATGCTGTAGTGGCGAACTAGTCAATCTATCAACGTAGCCCCAGTTGTGAGTCCATTCATTACAGCCGCCGGAATCCCTTGTTACTGGTAAGTGACACACTGTCGCTTAGACGTCGTGTAACTAAATAGAATCAGTATTAAATACTAGTAACTACAAAATCACATTCAATGTTTCAAAGGAAATAAATAAATATATATTGCAGCGAAGACATGGATTGAATCAATCCTTACTGTCGTCAATGCTTTATATAAGATGTATTTAGAATAAGTCAAATATATATATATATAGGGACAATCCAAATAAAAAACTAATCTTGTAGCTGCTTACTTACTTTAGAGGCGCTAGAGTCCATCAAACGACAGGAACATTCTGCTTTCTTGGTCTGGGGCACTCGGCTCAGCCAAGAAAAATACGCACATAAACGCGTCGTGGAAGCTATCCTGCCAGTCTTCGAAGCCTGAATGCAGAGACGGGAAGGCAGGCTGGATGCTTTGGTGATTATCTGTGTAAAATCGGCCGTGAGGCGACGGCCAATTGTTTCCACTGCGATGAAGCTTCCAGGATTCCGCAACGCATACCCTGGCGGTATGTCCAGCATGGGAGACGTAGCGGCGGATCCTGGTATGCTACATTGGAGGAAACCTTTCTTTATCAGCAGCCGTATCGCCGATGCTGAGTGGAGATGCAGCATGGAGGGCCGTAACCTTTTTCTGCGAGACCGTGATGGTCAAGAAGATAGCTGAGAGGGACCGAGAGAGGACAAATCCCTCTCGGAGACGGGGTCACCGAGACGAGGGTTCACCTCATTACGGTCCTCCAAATATAAATGGTGTTCCCCTACCGGAAACGGGGTTTCGGGATCGCGGGCGACTGGGCCTTTATACGAGTAGGTCAGTACAGCGAACAGTAAGGGTGACGATGGCTTAGGTAGGTTCAAGCTATCGTGGTTGCATCACAGGGGTGGGCGAAGTTATGTTACCGGGTCGGGGCTATTCAAGCCAAGCCAAATGCCGCGGGCCGCGGTATTGTTCCAAACGGAGATCCCGTGACCCACCTGAAAGCTGATGTCGTCCACTATGGGGTTTTAGTCGGTGTGAGTCCGGCATAATCTGGTTTCCCCTATGTGTGAGGCCAGGTATCCATAACGGATTTCGCCACGTAAAGAAAAGCTATTTACTTTAAATTACAATTAACCTAACAAAAATTTAAATTACTATAACATATCAAAGGGAATCTTGAACGCCTTATGTATGCAGGTTTATGACATATCAAATAATGTTTTTGGTTAAACAAATTATTACGGCAGCAGGAATTAACACAAAACGCTAGTTTAAAAGAACTAAATAAAACGCTCACTGAGTATTACTAAAAAATATTTTCAATCTCAAATAATCAATCTCAAATAATGCTATGGTAAGCTCGGATCCATGAGATAATTCCCACTTATCAAATAGTCATTAAATGATCCAAAAAATCCGGTATTGAGCACGTAATTGATTACGGTGATTTTGTTAGAACCAGGACCCAAACAAAATGTGGCAAAACGGCCACGAGGCAGCTTCTGCAGTTGCATTAACAGGCAGTCTTGTTCAGGGAAGTTTACGGATCTTATGGGTCTATATCAATGTGATATCGTCCTTTGTACAGATTTTAACGTGGATTAGATTCAGGGATATTTCCATAATTACAGATAAATATATGCGATACACATTGTTACATAGTACCTAGTCACAGTTTAGTCTTCATCCATAATTTTATAGCATGAATTTACTTTAACATGAACTTATTGGAGATCTGGAACATAAAATAATAATTAATAAGTAATACTTGTTCATAGGTACATCTGCTTCCGTCTTATAATATGGCCATCATCGTGAATATGAAACATGGCCCAAGATTCTTTTCGTGCAATGAGCCTGTTATTTTGGTTTACGGATTGTTTTCAGTTATTTTTAGAATGACAGTTTAAAATAAAATATAATTAATGGTGAATATAATTAATGGTGAAGTGAAAATGAAGCCTTTGAAATTACTTTTTTTTTATGTAAGTATACAAAATGATTTGTTAGTAAACGTAAACTTTGAAACACTTGTCCGATTGATCTTGTAATAGTTATATTATATAGATATCGTAATATCGCACGATTTATTTTCATCTTCGTAATTCATGTACACATGTAATGTCGTATAACGGTACAAAAATACACCTTTTGATTATTTGCATCTTTATTGTTCGTATCAACTAGTAAAGTTTCGTTGGTTAGTTTCTCAGAAGAGCGAATTATTTAACGCCTTCTTGGGCCGTTCTAACAAAAATTGACTTGCTTCAATTAATTCGCCCTTTTGAAGATTTGTTTCTTAAAGAAAAGTAATAACAAAAAGAAAGCAATAAACATTCATCACCACTATTTATTTGTTAAAATGCCATAATTTGTAGAGTCGTAGTTATTTAATTACTTGTCTCCGTATCTCAAAGGAACAAGAAACCATTAAGGATCACTTCCTTGTTCGTATGTTCGTCTGGCCATCTTGTCAGTATGTCAAGACCGTTTCTCTCAAGAACTCCTATAGATATAAAGTTAAAATGATTATCCAAATATTCTGGTGCGCATGACCTTGAAACCGCTCATTCATACAGTCTTCAAAGTCTAATCTGCTAAGTCCTTTGATTTTACAAACCTCAAACTGTTATATCAAAATTTTGCAGAAGTTTACAAGTGGCGGCGCGCAACCGCAGCTTTGCAGCGAAATAGCCGTGATTATATATTTTTTTACGTCCACTCTATTTTTAATGGAGCAAACTCAACTTATTTTTTATTTTAAGACGGCGGAAGTTTCTTGTTCAAAACCAGTTCAAACATTTATGTTAATGAATAAAATTAAGCTAATGGTAGTTGTCCATATTATTTGAGTAACATACATAGTTATCGATATTTCTACATTTAATAAACGGGAAACTTTGACTCCCTTGTGCGGTTAAAAGTTTTAGACATGTGATCAATGCCAATTTTCCTAAAATGGCTAACATTTTGTTTGCGCTAGAATTTCTACGGTAGCAAAAGTAAATTAGTGAAATCTACTGTAAATTAAACTTATTATTATGTTGACTTTGTAAGTAAAAGGTATTACTTAAAATCAAAAAGATTTTTAATCTACTTGACTGCCTTGATATCTAATACCAAGTCTGTTGTTGTGCTATTGAGAGCCCCACTTAAATATTTTTTTATTCTGTTTTTAGTATTTGTTGATATAGCGGCAACAGAAATACATTATCTGTGATAATTTCAACTGTCTAACTATCACGGTTCATGAGATACAGCCTGGTGACAGACGGACAAACAGACAGACAGCGAAGTCTTAGTAATAGGGTCCCGTTTTACCCTTTGCGTACGGAACCGTAAAAATGTAATATTGCAAGAGCCATGTGAATTGTAATTGTTATGCTTAGATAATTCCGTAAGAACTAACGAGTAGGTACAGTAATGTTTGAAATATACCAAATGCTTTACAGTTTTTTTTTCTTATTTTCCACATGTTAGACAACTAGTAGTAAAACTCTGCTGAATTTCTTCTCCAACGAATCGTGAGACATAAATTTGAAGCTTTATCACCGATTTAATGTGTACAGACGTTAGTAAATTATGAACTTGTATGCTGCTAGAAATGAACACTTGAATGTAATAGTAGCGCTCAATGGCTATTCGAATTTTGGTCCGATGTAATTTATGAAGGAGAGGAATGAAAAGATAGAACTTGTAATAAATTTTCAACATCCAACGAGTATGTCATTATTATAGATCTTTTATTAACAGTTTTTAGACTAAGATGTTTATGAAAGATCAGATTATAAAGCTTTTTATTTTTTTTATTAGAAAAAAAATTGACCGTACTGAGCGGGAAGGCAGTTTTATGATAAATATATCGTTTAGCACTGAAATAAATTCTTCATAAAAAACCTTTTAAGACCTTTAAAAAACTATTTTACGATGTGTTTGTGTTTGGTTCGTTAGACATTTGTAAATTGCATGTGCGATTGTATGATTTGTGATTGAAAATTAAAATTCCAATAATAAAAGGGTTATAGATTCCTACTTTGCTACCACACGAAGATAATAATTAAGTGCTGCTGGAACATTGATTCTCAGGTAAGAAGTAATAATAAATTAAATTAATGGACTCGCACGTAATACAAAAAAGTTGCCACCCTTATTAAAATTATTGCCCTTATTTACTTTATGTTATGCTTTAAAACTGTTTTCCATTTTTACTTTTGAATTAAAAAGTTCAGGCTATCGAAGTTCACAGATAAAAAGTTTAAAAATTTCATGTTGAATAAATTATCATAAGTTGACTTACTTGCAACTTTCAAATTTAAAACTTTGCACAAATGTATTTTACGGTAGACGAAAACGTTAACGTAGCAATGGCTAAATTAAATAAGAAAATTTATAATATGCAATAGAAGCAACAATCAACGCAATGCTAATAAAAAAAAGGAAAATTCATATATAAAATGAATATATTAATAAAAAAGGTTATTGATCTAATATTTACAAGATTAAATCTATCTAAAATTACATATTATCTAATAAACCTAATCCACGCAGCATAGTGACAAGAACGCTAGCTGCATTTCCTCGCTGAATAGTTATGCTTAACCTTTGAGCGAGAAAAGAACCAGCTATCTTGTCACCAGCCGCGGCGTTAAGCCTAGGACATAAACTTTTAAATAATAATAATTATAATAAGTAATAATATAGCGCACTGTATTTTTGATTCTTAAATTCAAAACCAGTTACGAATGAAAAAGGCGATGTAGTGTCTGGCATCTTAAATCGAAGTAACACTCAGAGCGTAGTACAACAAAACAATTTTTAAATTGTAACGGGCGATAGATTTTACGCACGAGTGACTCATAATACTTGATACATATACTTGATTGTCAATAGGCTTTTGATTATACTAATGAAATTTCATCTTGAAAACATGTCCTTTGTCTTATAGTATGTACTCGTATAACATTATTATTACGGAAATCATTGTAAAATGCATGTTTTTGTTTGGTGCCTTGAAAAATATTTTCTAAGTCTACTTTTAAAAGTTACACTTCTCATAGGCCTGCGCCGCAGCCAACTCCAATCTCTCAATGATCCGAGCTAGCTGAGCAAGAATTTAAGGGAAACAATATCATACGCCCAACCGATTACCTGTGAAAAGATGCTCTTGTACTTTTACATAAAGGTTTCACTTTCGACTCCAGAACGTTATTAAATTTATTATATTTAATATTTAATATTCGCTATATATATTTAAAACATAAGAGACAGAGGGACAAAGTTCGTTTCAGGCCGGCTCTATAACTTAATTAATCCCTTCGGTAAAATTCCCTTAACGCACAAACTTTTACTGTGCATGGCTTGCGAATGACCCATATTGATGTCTTACGTGCATATATATTTATTTCATATACATATTTTTTATACTTTTCCTTTCGGAGGCCAAGATCCTCTTTGGTACTCTGAGCCAGCCAAGTAAGTACATATGTTTTATATCATCATCATCATCATTTCGGCCTGTTTGAGTCCACTGCTGAACATAGGCCTACCCCATAGACTGCCACAACTCAACAGTGTCTCCCAACGGGTGGGCCTTAAGATGAACATGGACAAGACGAAGATCATGTCTAATGTCCATGTCACGCCAAAACCGGTTGTTGTTGGGAGCACTGAGCTCAAAGTTATTGACGAGTACATTTACGTAGGACAGTTAGTCCGGCTAGGTAAGTCCAACTTCGACGCAGAGGTCAATCGGCGGGGCTGCGTTCGAGAAACTACGGCAAATCTTCTCGTCAAATATACCTCAATCTTTGAAGACTAAAGTCTTCAATCAATGTGTGTTGCCAGTGATGGATGACCTACGGAACCGAGACGAGGAGAACCGTCCTTCACTGCTGGCCGTATGAGGAAGCTCAAAGTCGCTCAGCGAGCTATGGAGCGGGCTATGCTCGGTATTTCTCTGCGTGATAGAGTTCGTAACGAAGACATCCGCAGTAGAACCAAGGTAACCGACATAGCTCAGAGGATTAGCAAGCTAAGGTGGCGATGG